TGTGTCATCATATAGCATAGCAGTAAATCCCATGTGTCAGAAATGGATTACCTATGCGGGCAGAATGAAGGAAACAGATTCTCGATAAGGTTAATTAGTTAGATTTTCTAGCTGCACAACACAGACAAGATAATAGAAAGAGAGTCAGGAGACGAGTTTGTCTGCAGATCAGAAGAGATGAGGGAGATGAAAGTTGTGTTTATGTGTGTGTGTATATTTCATTGAAGCGGTTGGATATGGGGGATTTGAAGAAGGATAAAAAGACGAGAGGCGAGCCCAGATAGAAGCTAGCCAGCTGGGCCAGATGTGATCTCTTTCTCCTCCGCTTGATCTGACCACCTGCTTTCTCACTCGGATACACTCACAAATAAACCCAATAACAGCTATGTTACATTAAATATGGATTCTCTTGGTTCATTGCGACCAAGTGTACCACCAAGCACACGCTTCCTCCCGCTGGTCCCTTGGTACCAGGAAGTCTCCGGTCTATTGTGGCTTGGTCAACAGATGAGCTGTAACAATGGGCCTCAGATCAGGAGGAACAGAGAAGGTCACTGTTTTGCGAAATGAGATCACATTTACCCAGCAGCCATTCCTCCCACATGTGTGTAATGAGAGCGTGTTGGTTTGGTTGTCACAATGCTAATTTCTTGTTCAAGGCAGCAACAATCGAGCAAGATTAACAACAGAGAAGCAGAAATAAATGCAAGAGAGAGCTGAATGCATAGAGAGGAAGGGAAGGAAATATAAATAGAGGCACTTTCCAAATTAAACAATCAATAATTTTGTCTATAAAAGGCCAGAATATATATATTCAATGTTGCTTACGATAAACTAAATGTATAAAGAATAGAAAAAAATAGATATGAAGTATAGGTTTTAATGAGTTTAAAAAATAGTGAAAAGAATCCCAACATTGGTCAAGTTCATCCGTCATTTATTTTGACTTGGAAGCAGTACGTATTGTCCAAAATGTCGTGATTGTACGAATCATGTTTTTTGGGAGCATTTATTGAGCCTACGCAACTGATATCATGTCGGGATGTGGACACACAAAAACAGAAGATCACAGCACATCTTAATGAAGCACAGTCTGATTATTTAAAATCTCTGGGTACAAAAGCAGAGTAAACGGAGAATACAATAGCAAAGATCGCACCAAGACCCCTACACTGAGCTTAGAACTACTTGTAGTGAGAACAGACTTTTGACATTACGTTAGAATTTCTCTTACGGTTTGTATATATCGTGTAATATGTAATTGTTTGCAGAACGTTGACGTGTCAGTAAAGCTTTCCAGTTGAGGATGTTGACGGAGCATCTTGTGTATTTTTCCATTCGTGGTCAGTGTAATTGCTCGTGGTTTGCTTAAGGGGGTAAAAACACATCCTCTCAGACCTGTTTTCTGCTGCATACTACGTCAGGGAGGAGAGGCGAGATAAAGCGAGGCGAGGAGGCTTGTTGAGCTGTGTGTGGATTCCTGCAAATTGTCTGGATGAAGAGACACTCATGTCTCTCATGTCTCATTATCTTTTCGTTTGACTATATCCTTCTCCTTTCCCCGTATTCTCGGTCAGTCCTTACATCGTTTTTTACCTTCCTTCGTTTATCTCTCCATCACTCCCTTAACTCTCCTTTCTCTTTACCCCTACCCTAATGTTTGCCTCAATAGACTCGCCTTCCTTGTTTCTCCCCGGACTCTGGGATCAGTGGCATCTAATGCTTTGCACTCTGCCTGATTAAGTCAGCACATGTACTCCCCTCTTTACATTATCACACACACACACACACACACACACACACACACACCCACCCAAGCGTCCCCACAGACCTAATCAGTCCTTCTCTTAGTTCTCTCTTTCTCACACACACACTACTTCCACACCTAATGAAAAAACATGAGCTAGGTTTAAAAGAAAAGAAGATGGACAGGCGGAGAGAAAAAGGTAGCTGCGGAAATGTAAGAGATTGATTGAAAACAACTCCTCCAGGCGCTTTAAATGCCTGTTTCCAGTTTAGAGAATTGTATCTAATCAGCATTGTTGCTATCATGCAGAGATGCAGTAAGAGGGGGAAACAGACAGAAAGACAAGTTGACGATAGCAAGGCTGGTGTTAAAAAGACTCATTCTTCATTTGCATTTATTTGCTGGAACGTTTCGCCAATCAACTCCGGACAACTTTCAAAACAACGTGTCCAAACGATGTACCTTTCACACATCTAGCACACATCAGGAGATTTGCTGTTTCGCCTAGCTATAGCGCACAACTTGAGCGAATACTTTTGGCCGTTCTTGAATGTTTCTACTTATTTTGCCGTCGGCCCTTACTTACTTAAGTTCCCGAATGTCGTTGACTCTCCAGATAGACCTTGTCTTCGCGTAAAAGCCTCCTTGGGTGTTTGTTTTTCTTCCACCACGCCAGTCACGATGTAAGCGTCATCAAAACGTCCAATCTCTTGCCATCAATTCATCAGGTCCAAATGATGTCTGGAGTTTAGCACACAATAGGAGACAGTCACGATGGAAACGTCATCAACTGACCAATCTTATCATCATTAATTCGACGAGCCATTCTTTTCACCAATGGCTCAATCGGACAAAACACAGACTTTGAACTAGAACGCTGGCAGAGTAAAGTCCGTTTGATATCCGTTCTGAATTATTCATACATTTCTGTTCAGCTCCTCCGGGTAACGCTAGACAATTTTCTGATTTCAATGCAATTGTGAGAAGGGGCTACGCTCATGCCTTCATATAACTGGAACATTTCCCAACAGGCATGAAATCCTGACACTATGATAGCTGCTAAACAAACACTATTCTGCTTGGTTGTCATTCACTAGCAGCTAAGTGTGCTTTAATGTACCTTTGTGTATTACGTGACCATAATTTGAATAGACTTAATAGCTCACCGCATGGTGTGTGTGTGTTTTGTGTGTGTGAAGTAGGAGAGCTGCCATGTTGAGTGAAGGAGAGAAATGCTAGACTTGAGGTCTGCTGTGTTTTGTTACTGTACGTGTGGGCATGAGCTCGAGGGAGATGATGTGTTAAGTGAGTAGAGCGAAGATGCACTTTTATTGAATGAGCGCGTACACCCGGTTATGATGATGAAGTCTCCCGACGGGACTCTCCCTTCTCTAGTCCTTCAGTTGTCTTAACGAGAAGCTGTTTTCGTAGTTACCAGGTGTGAGAGCCGGCAGCCCATAATGTCCCGTGGTGTAGAACAAAGGATGGGGAGTGGAAAGAGAGACTGGTTGGAGGTAGAGGCGAAGCAATGAAAAAGGGGGGTGGAAAACGCCAGGGAAATGAAACAACAAAAACTGATATCAAGTGTGAATGATCGATTTAGCCCTGTGTGTGTGTGTCTGTATTGAGGTTTCTGCTTGAGAGGATCGCTGTGTGTGTTACCTGTTGTGAGTGAAGACACTGAATCTTTATAATAAGCTCGGGGACCTGAACAAGAATCAGTTAGAATCAATCTCAACTAAAGTGGTGAGAACGGTGAGCTAGTGCCGGGCTGTTAGGATCTGCTGCGGTCATATCGAGCACATCGAATTGAAGTCGGCTTGTAGTAAATTAAAGAGGGTTTTATGCATTGATGGCTCGATAAGATCTTCTGTAAAAGAAATAGGACTTCTGTCGCCTCAGGGATGAATGTTTAAACCTTCCCGTGCCTGCATATCAGATTCTTACATTGGTGCTCATGTATATGGACTTTTAATGTTTTCTATGATGCATTTGAGTTTATCTGCACTTGCGGCAATTGAATAGAAGAAGAGAAGATAATATAAAATCTGTCCTTTGCAAACATATTATTATATCAAAGAATCCACAAAAGGAATATCGATTAATCCCATGGTTTAAGAAATATAAGCCATTTCCCACAGCCAACAGAAGTATTTTTCGTCCAACCAGCGATCCATACTTAGATATTTATAATATAACAACACTTTTTATTTATCGGCTTATTTCATTAACAGATGCTCTTTGCTCAGAATATAAACTCATATTTGTACATTTCTTCAATTTAGTTGAAATACTTTCATGATGAACTTCATTGTTTGTGAAGAGTTTTCCGTGGTTCAACAATTTGGTTAATCTTCCCACTGTGCAATATAGCGTGTTTAAAAGCAAACCAAACCAACTTTGAGCGACAAAGAATTTGTAAATCATTGTAAAAGTATACAATAAATACATATACTGCGCACTTAAAGGTGGGGTAGGTGAGTTTGAGAAACCGGCTCGAGATCGCTAGAATTTGAAAATACACAACCGGAGAAAATCTGCCACTTCCTTATAGAGCCCCGCCTCCAACTCACACGAACGCGCACATGACCAATGAGGGCACGAGATAAGTTTGTGCCCCGATGGAAGGCTGACAGGCAGGTAGGCCATCCAGTTATTTTAGCCGGGCCGGCTCAGATGATTGGTCGTGCTTTTTACAGTACTACGGCTTCCACAGATGATATTTTTTAATGGATTTTTTGTCAAAGCACTTCAGATATTCATTGCTATCGGGATGTTAAGAGCATTCCATGGAATATAACAAAAAGTGTATCTCGAGCCGGTTTCTCAAACTTACCTACCCCACCTTTAAGACCTTAGAAATACTTGCACTTGTTTACTTCTGAGTGTCAAAACCATAATAGTTTCCTTATCTCTGCGAGTTGTGTAACTTTACATTGCTGCGCCTGGAGGCTCAGTAAATGTCGGACATCTGAAGTTCTGTGAATATATCTCGGAAAAAGGGATAAAAGTAAAAGTCATGAGAGGACGATGAGGAGGTTAGAAAAAGTTCTGCAGCTTCATCTGTCCTTCACACTTCTATTCAGTTTTCATCCGTAGTGTTTGGTCCGTCCTTGGTACGTCTGCATTTTTCCATCTCTGTGTGAAAAGCAATTTGCCGTTGTTGCCTCCGATCAGGGTTATCAAACCTTTTTTAAAACCTTTTCTCATTACTTCTGTTGTGTAACTCTCTTTTCTTTTTTATTCCTCTCAGATCTGATCCACTGCACCAATGAGATGAACGTGAGCATTCCCCAGCTGGCGGACACGCTGTTCGAGCGCACGGCCAACTCCAGCTGGGTGGTGGTCTTCAAAGCCCTCATCGCCACCCACCATCTCATGATGTACGGCAACGAGGTAGGGACGCACTCACTCACTCACTCACTCACTCACTCACTCACTCACTCACTCACTCACTCACTCACTCACTCACTCACTCACTCACTCACTCACTCACTCACACACACTGTATACATCACTTCAGGGGACATTACATTGACTTACATGCATTACCTGGAGACTTATCCTAACCATAACCAACACATGCCTAACCCTTACCAAGTCTTCACCCTAAAATTAATGATACACACGCACACGCACACACAGACACACACACACACACACACACACACACACACACACACACACACACACACACACAGACACACACAGACACACACAGACACACACAGACACACACAGACACACACAGACACACACAGACAAAACACCTCCAGGCCAGTCAAAGGGAGGCCACATCAACCAATCCATTATTACTAAAAGCCTGTCTCGCCCACACATTCATAAATACAAACATTTGTATCATTTATTCCAATCCTTCTGAGGACGTAAACATTGGACACATGGCGTGAATAATAGAAATAGCTTTGGACTGCAGAGAAATGAATTATCTCCCCTGTATACGAGCTGGAAGCACGATGGTGAATGAATTATCGGGTGAATTAACTTAATACAAAAACTTTGAAAGTCTGCAAATCCACAAAGGGACCGTGTTATTTTCCAATCACAATAATTCAGGAAAATTAAAATCTATCTAACCTCTAGAACCCCGCTATGTTTGGGAGAACTTTTTCATTCATTTACATTTTTCTTTTGACCAGGCAGTGTTCAGTTATTCTAAGAGGAAAGATCAGATCAAACCCCCAGCCAGTGAAACGTCTCAATTTATATGCAACAGTGCAGTGCAGCTTTTGAAACAGAGCAGATATTAATTCAGGGCGAGAGTTGTGGTTTTATTAATTTCCAACCAGATGGAAACGCAGTTCGTTTTGTTCTTCAAATAAACTATCGTGTCCTGCATTTACATCCAATCCTCCCGTGTGCAGACTGTGAATAATTCAGAATGCAATCCCTTTTAAAACACAGGAAAAATCACTTTGATATTCGGATGGACTGCAGCCAGTTGGAGCCGGTGTATTGTCTAATGTATATTTGATGAAAACAGCAGTCCAGGCACAGACTGCTTCTTTGTAGTGACATATTTTCTCTGATCAATTTATTACCTTTGAACCTGAGTCAGGCTAGCTGTTTCTCACTTTGTTTTTGCGCTAGGCTAACGCGCAGCTGGCTATAGCTTCATATTTACGCCATTTACACCAGAGTTGCATCAATTTTCTTACCTTAATCTTGCCAAATATACGCGTATTTGGCGAATTTCCCAAAATGTGGAACAATTTCTTTAAAAAAACGACACATTTTTGGTAAACACCTCTGTAAATCAGAGCCTTTTTAGTCCCTATAACCAAATGGGGGTAATCATGGCCATGTGTACATTGTACATATTATGTACTAGGGCTATACGATTTTGTAAAAAAAAAAAAAAAATTGTAATTATTTTGAGTGATATTGCGATAACGATATCAGATGAATTGATTATCTTTGCATCATTATTTGTTTATAATTGAAAAATATCCGTACATTTATATAAAAACATATTTACCCGTTACTTAATATTGTGCTACCTTATTAATATGAATATTGCACCTGTCCATATTTCCATTTCCATAAAACTTTGATTAATTGTGCCTCCCTATTAGATGAACTGTACGCTAATACACATGTTGAGAGCAAAGGCTAACATCCTGTACCTTCTTGCACACACACGAAAACAGACACACCCTGCTCCACATTCTTTACAATTCTCATTTAAATAGGGAAGCATCACTTCCTTGTTTAGTCAAGATCACTTGTTTCGACATTACGTAACACTTCCGTTCGCTGGTTCCTTGTTTATTACATTAATCAAAGCTTCCTCCCAAAAGAGGAAGACTTGGGTGTGAGATCATTGTGCTGCGCGGTAAAAAACAAGCTTCTCGACTCACTGACATCCAAAACAGCAGCTCTGAGATGATACTTCCAGTGTAGAGAATTAGTCCAAAGTTCTGCAGAATTAGCTGCATTACTCACTTCAGACTAGGGCTGTGCGATTATGGCAAAAATCATAATCACGATAATTTTGGTCAATAATTGATATCACGATTATTACAAACGATTATCCATTTACTTTGAAAACATCCATTTATTGAAAAAAATGTTTTGAACAGTATGTTTTGAACAGTTGATTACCCTGAACTTTAAGTATAATTCAACTGAAAAACCAACAAAAAAAATTATAAAAAAAAAAAAGAATTAATTTTTTTTTTTTTTTTTTAAATATAAAATAATAATCGGTTTATTTCGATTACGTTGTTTTCGTAATCGTTGCAAGCCAAAATCGTAATCGAGATTAATATACGATTAATTGCACAGCCCTACTTCAGACTCCACATACAGTTCAGACCGACATCAGGTCATCAGATGACTCCGTGATAAATGTTTGCTCAAGCTCAGTTTCTTTTTGATGAACCAAGTGGTGGTAAGTAGGTCACAGGGAGCAGCAGGAAGCAGTTCGGAGGTATTCCCCAGCTGAAGGCGGATTTATCTCGCTGTTGTCGCTGTCAGAGTGAACCTTTTTGATGTTGATGTCTCAGCTAGAGCTAATTAACAATGATTGCTGCGCTGTGTTAATCCCTTTATAGAGAGGGAAGGTTTGCAGAGATCACAACCATCGCACTTGTTGTTGTTGCAGATAAAACAAATACTAAATCTGGTCAATTTAGGAGGAAGAGTATTAAAAAATAATATATAGATAGTTTCTTATTGTGCTATCATCTAATGTATTGCAAAGATATAATATCAAAGGGATAGTTTGGAAGTGAATATAATCACATTTGCATTTAGAAGCATTATTGTTATTAGATTATCAGACTTACTTTATTGATCCCAATTTGGGAAATTCTTGTCACAGGAGAATGTAAACAAGTCATTGTACTGATTTACATAATACGATTAAATGGAAATTAGACAGAGAATATATTCATATCAACAGTTAAAGATATAGAGTTTACACAATATAAATATACAGAGTAACTTAGAACATTGTATAATAAACTAGAATAAATTATTATACACTTTAATAGACAATTGCATTGCATTGCATTTTCCCAGTAGCAACTTAATAAGTCAAGCTGTTAGTTTGAAAAATGTTATCGAATTCCTCAAATGAATAACACACAGCGATACTCTGTTAGCTATAATAATACACTTTAGTGAGCAATACTTCAAGTGCAGTGCACATGTACAGTGTGTACTGACAACATGCTGCTGTTTAATGGAAACTGCTAACATAATGCAAGTCATTTAAAAGCCCTTATTCAAACACCTGCAGTACATTAGAGCAGTGCGTTTGTGCTGTAGTCCCATAAGGTGAGGCACCGGGCTGTAGCAGAGTGCGTTTGTGCTGTAGTCCCATAAGGTGAGGCACCGGGCTGTAGCAGAGTGCGTTTGTGCTGTAGTCCCATAAGGTGAGGCACCGGGCTGTAGCAGAGTGCGTTTGTGCTGTAGTCCCATAAGGTGAGGCACCGGGCTGTAGCAGAGTGCGTTTGTGCTGTAGTCCCATAAGGTGAGGCACCGGGCTGTAGCAGAGTGTGTGTGTGTGTGTGTGTGTGTGTGTGTGTGTACTCATCAGGCTGCATCCATCAGGCCTGTCAGGACGGGGCTGCTGACGGAGGCTCGGCGGCCAGGTGGTGTCCCTGCTACCTCACGGCCGCCCCATCCATTACAGTCAGAGCGGAGAGAAATCTGGCCGTAAAATTAGAAAGCACAGACCCACAGAATTGGGGTCAATAGACTGAACATTCCTTTTCACATCAACACGCTGACGGGCTGCAGCTTGGCTGAAGATGGCCTTGCACATTGTACCGTGAATGCTCTGCCACTAAAGAACAAATACAATGCGTTGAATCAGACCGAGGCTTTTATGTGAAAGGAGAAAAAGCTGCTTCGCCATGTCATTTCATTTTCGTTTTTTGTAGTTTATGATGGATTTAAGTATCACGTAGCTGATGCTGAAAGCTATCTTTTTACATATTAGATAGTGGCCCATTTCTGATTTGATGGGTAGTTTATTGGGTTTTTGAGAAGGATGAATGGTACAAAAGACAAGGAGGAAGAAAGAAATGAATGGAGTTTAAAAGTAGGAAAGGAGGAGATATAGGAAATAGTAGTTAGAGAATATTATATGGGGAAGGAAAGGTGACAAGAAAGGAGGTAAAGAAGTGAAAGAAAGTACAGAAAGACATTACAAAGAGAGAAGGAGGAACAAAAGTTAATATTGAGGTAGGGAAAGAAGTAGGAAAGAGGAAAGATGTTATAGAAGATAAAGGAATGAAAATAGGGGCTTGAGAAGGGAAACAAATAGGTAAGAAGTTAACGAGGAGACCAGGAAGGAAAGGATAAGGAAACACGTTTTGTAGAAAGAAATGAGAAGGAAAGAACATAGGAGACAGAATAGGAAAGGTAGAGAAGAGGCGCGTTCACACCGCAGTACTTTTCCCACTTTAGTTCCGATATAGTTCCGAAAATGTTCGTTCACACCAAAAAAATCCGGAACTAAAATGAGTTCATGAACCTTTCCACCCCCTTTTCCGTCCCTGCTAGAGAGCAGGGACTTTCGTGGGAGAAAAAGGTTCCTATTTCTGATTGGCTGGGCGGATTGCAAACCAAGCCCCGTAAAACTCCCAAAAAGTTTTACGAAGCCGCCATTTTATTATCCTCGCATTAGCATTAGCATTAGCCCAGCGCACCAACGCAGAGAGACTAACTTATGGCAACACAAAATGAAACGTGGGAGCGGTGGAGATGAGGAGGTGTCGGTGTTCTGGCGATTTACTCGGAAGGCTTCAGTAGAAGCTGCTGGGAGTCCCAGCAGCTTCTACTGAAGCCTTCCCCAACTCCGGGGACTTCCGGCCGGGGACTTCGGGTGGCAGTATACGCCGTGAAGTGGTTTGCGGCCTGCC